CCTATGCAATCTATCCCAGAAATCTCACTCCAAGGTGAAGGTCACGAGGACGATGGGATGGACCCCTCATCTGGTGGTGGAAGCAGTTCTGGCACTACCCCTTCCACTATGAACATGTCCACATCCAGCTCAGCAGAGTTCCAGTACACCAACCCAGGGCCTCATCGCCACTCTGATGCTGGTCTGCAGTTCCTGGACCTTCCTCTAGACTCCTCCCGCGGCAACACCTGGCCTTCCACCATGCACCATAGGGGGAGCTACCCCAGTGACCTCATGATGGCTGCCAACCAGCAGATGTATCTGCCGGGATATGCTGCTGCCTATACACCAGAGCTGGAGTACAGCCAGTACATGGCTCTGGTGTCCCAGGCAGGCCAAGATGGGCAGTATCTCCTGGGACCAGGGTGGGGGGCAGGGGATGCCAAGCTGAATAGGAGCTGGCCACCAAGGTAGGTACAGCCAGGAGATGGTGCTTCTGGACCAAAAACTGTGTTACTTTTTTCAATGCACTTACAGTCATAGAATGCCAGTTTTAAAGATAAGGGTTTAATATGACTATTGAATTAATAGTGTTTACATCTTGTATTTGAAGGAGGGCTGATGACCCCAGTTTGACCCTTCATTTGACCTTGATTTAACCTGTGACATTTGTCCTAGTTTAAGCCTCCTTGGTGCCAGGATGATAGCCCTATATAGAATTTGTTGCAAGTGACTTCACAATGGCCCTAATAAACCGCTGACCTTTGATTGACTTTTACATGACCTTGACCTTTGCCCTGGTTTCAGCTGGTCTGGTGCCCAGGATGACAGCAGTGATGAGGACTCTTCTATAGAGGAGCAGGTGGCCCTGGGAACAGATCTGATGAATGCCGTCAATGACAAGAGGAGACACAGCAGTGGTGAACACAAGTTCTCTGATGGGACTCCACTGCTGCATGGTGCTGGTGCCGAGGCCAGGCCCAGGAGTGTGGACGACCTTCATATGGTGAGTGAGGCCTTGTGACCTGGCTGCATTGAGATGAGTTGGTGTTAGACTTTGAGAATGAGAAAAAGAAAGAGCAAAAGAAAACAAGGAGGATCTCTATAAATTGGTCTGTTGGTGACTTACCGCAGACCATTTTCCAGTCAAATGTTCACCCAAGTTTGAACACATGCATACTTGGAAAACTTATAATGGCACCATAGGCAGTACCTTACATTATAATGCCAGTATTGAGATGATTTTAACAGATATATATTTATACATATTTATTATAGGAGTCCCGCTCCACCAATACATGGCCTCCAAAACAGGTTTGGACACGGCCAGTATCAGCTGACCAGGTAGCCGACCTGTCTTCAAGCACTTATGCCAGCCAGGCCGCAGACGCAGTACAACCACAGATGTCGTGGAGCGATGTTGTGGGGAGCAGTCGTCAGTCGCCGTGGGGAACTGGTAAGTAGGATGGGTATGTACTCAAGAAATTGCAGGGTTATTAACTCTTTGCATATATGCATATTTGTTACTGTAATTTTTTTTTTTTTTTCAGAAAACAAGGTTTACCAGAGAAAGATTCAATTGTATACATATACAATTTTTTATTCCTCTCTAGGTTTGCCATCAACTCAGTATATGCACCCTGCTAGCCTGCAGCAGACGTACAGCAGTGTCCCACCAGGGGGCAGCAGAGGTAGCGCACAAGGGGCAGCACAGGCAGATGCAGGAGTCGCCAAACAGCAGGTTGAGAGAAAACAGTCTGTCACCAATGTGTCCTCATGAGCAGGAAAATGTTGCAAATAGAATGCCATCATCTGTGCCATATGCTGATTAGTACAGAGAAGTTACAGCGTTTTTTACAAGCCCCATCCTGGAATGGGCAGTAAAAAAGTTTAACTACTAAACGGCTGATACAGATCACCAGAAAATCACGAACTGAGGAAAAGATGGGAGTGTTTGTTTTGTACAAACAGATATTTCACCTTGTGTTGTAAATGTGTGTTACGTTCTGCGGCTTTTGAATCACACACTATGGTGAAAACTTCAAACAGAATTAGGCTGTTTTTCACAGATTGAAATTCTCAAGTGAGCTTCCATGAAGTATTGATTTAAGTGTTATCCTTCTCCCAACTCTGACACCATTTATGTAAAAACGAACCAGTCGTACACAATTGAACTTTTTTTTATTTTTTTGTGCATCATATATATATAAATGTGAACCACATAAAAAGTATATGTCCAGTATTGTAGCTGTTGTCTATAGATATTACTCAAGCGCTGTAATGGGAAAAAAAGCAGTTTGGCCTTTTCTAAATATGCATGTCATAAATTTTTTCAAAATGTTTTTAAAACACCTTTTCTTTGATAGCCATTTCATAAAATTATTTCTATCCCCCCTTCCACTTCAGCACTTCCCTCAATCACATACGCACAACCACTATGATATAAAATGCAAACATGCTTTAAAATGCAATGAATAGGATATAAGCCATTCCTCATTATTTCTAATTATCATGCTAAAATAAGAAATATATAGTTTCCATACCCCTTGTTAAATTATGAAACATTCTTAATTTTGAATGCTCAGTTGTGAAAGAAAACATTAGATAAAAACATACTAAGTACCTCAGTTGAATACCAGTTACCCAATGGTTAAAGGGTGGGTGATTTTGCCAATTATCACAGAGATATGCTAAAACAGTTTCATCATTATATATCACTTCACCTTATAACATGGAATAATTCTGGACAGTATGATTTTAAAAAAGTTATCTGGCAGTCAGACTTAACAGATAGACAGACAGCGAGATAAATTCACTGGTGATCACATGACCACCACTAAGGCGAAATTTAAAGTAATAACCTATTTTGACAGGTAGCATGACTTCAGGATTACCTTGGAGAGATATCATACCACTGAAATGTCAAGTGGTGATGTCATTTCCTAATTAGATAGTGAGTACATGTACCCAAGGGGGGAAACTGACACAGTCAGGGAATGCAATAAGGCAAAATGTGTGGTATGATTTTAAAAGCTCGGTATTGTACATGCTACAACAGTCGAAAAAGGTTATTAATGTGATTACTTCTCCTGGGATTATTTGTTTGAAAACTTGCCAGTGGAAGTGACATGCAATGATCAAATTTGTTCAGGATTTGTTAGGTATAATTTATCAACTAATCGGTTGTCAGTGAGAAATATTGGGATAATACTCTTAACATGGGGAAGTTCTGCTCTTCCCATCACGTCAAGATGCAGAATTTTAACGGGGGGTATGTAATGAGTGCCGCAATACAGCTACATTGAGATCATCATTCAGTGTAGTGCAGAAATAAAAGATATGTCACATTTTTTCATGTGCTTCCCTTGTTAGTTATGAATGCTGTGTCATTGATGATAATGCAGGATTTGAAGTAAAGATAATGCAGGATTTGAGGTTATGGGAATACCACAGATGTAAACGTGTAAAAGGAAATACAATACTTAAAAGTGAAGTCTCGCCATATTTTTACTTTTATACCAGGTATAAGATTTAATGTCTGCATGTACCACTGTCATTATATAAGCAATAAAATCTGTTAATAGTAAATGTAGCATTTGTGCATCCACTATATATGTGGATTTAGGAAATATTTACTTGTTTCTTGAGAATTGTGAAGACTTACATAAGAACTTGTTTCAAATTGTTGGGTTTTTATTACAAGCTGTATTTACAATATTTTTAGCAGTATGTTATTGACCAAAAATCCAAAAGCAAAGGCACAAGTCCTGACATCTTAATTTCCAAAGTTTTTGCTCATGACAAGGGTTGTATCGTCCACACTGGTGCACAGTCATCACACAAATCTTTCGAGTGCTTGTCTGTGGTTTTACTTTTTCATTCAAAGTCATTTGTAGACACTCACATACGTGTACTTTCTGGTGCAAAGCCAACCAACTTTTCGGAACTTCAGAATTTGCATAATTTTGGGTTTGTGAACAAAATTCTTGTTCCGTGAAAATGGTTATTTCATGTTGTGATTTATTATAGTAGGTAATTACTGTATCACAATGCAGGGGTGTTTTTTCTTCTGTGAAATTGAGAAATATTGAATTTCTTTAGTTTATCAGCAATTAATTAGGTAGAAATGCAATTTTGCACAGAATTGAGGTCAGTTGATTCTTTTTCCTCTCTTTATGAAGAAAACAATAAAAATAATTATTATTATTTGGAAGCATTCAGATATTTGTGCACAAATGGCTATCATATCACATGAAAAAAGCACGTACTGTTGCTTGAAGTTATTTCTGAAATGTATGTGGGAACCACCAAAATGGATTTCCACAGTCAACACTCCTATGAATTGTACTAATAATAGTAAATGTATTGTTACCAATACCTGCTACTGAAATTAGATATTTCAGTTTATTGTGTTTTTTAAGGAATGTTGAAGTAATGTCCTTGCCCTGTTGTTTATGATAAGAAGGTATAATGGTTATGAAATATAAATGGTGTATTCATTGAAAGCTTTTGAAATATCTGTGTAACTGCATGCCACAGTATTAAGTATTAATGATAAAAATAAACATTACCATATTACATGGTGGTTGTATTTATTTTCTTCATCATAAAGATGCTAATTCTGTCAGTATTGCTCAAAAGTTTTGGCATCTCCATCTCTTGATCCATTTTAAATCGGTAATAACTTGATAACTCGTTGCTTTTAATACTTGATCAGAAATGGTTGATAATATATTGAAACTTGGTTGGATCTGTTGGAGTTACACCCTTATAAAGTTAACTGTAATATGATTTCTATAAATTTATACATTCTAAAAGCATTGACATTTGGGTCAGTCTGGTCCACTTTGTTTTCAAACTTGACCAATTATGCAATCCCAAAAATGAATTTGGTTATTTTTGAAAACACAAAGGCAGCTTCATGAAGAGAAAGGGAATGGGTAAGAGAGGTTTTGCTCAAAATTATGTTCAACTTGCAAATCCTCTGTACTGAAGTAGACAAACAAGACTAATGGAAATGCATAAAATTAATTTTATTTATGATCCAGTAAAAGGGCTTCATTTCCTAAGGGGCCATGTCACCGCAACAGGGATGTCAAGACACTTCCATCCACCAAGCAGCTTCAAAATTTTGATTACACTGCTGAGTTTCATCCTATGTCTCAAAATTCCTGAAGGAGGTACTGACTTCTTAGGTCATAAAGCTCCCATGAAAGATTAAGTACATATCACAGATAGTTCAAGGATTCTGTCATTTCTATTATCTATATATCAATAGATGTTCACACGTTTCACCATTTTAAAATGTTCCGGAAGTTATAACTTTATGGTGATGCAGCCAAGACCCTCTTTACCTGGGTGATTTGAGACTGGGATAGGCCCATCTCCTTGGATTCCTGGAATTTGTAAAGAAACATTCTATTAAAATGTCTTTTTTTTAATTTTGCATATTAATTTTTTGAGTCACTAGTTCATTATTACATGTTTGGCCCATATCACCATTTTATTATTGTGCTCGTTCTTTACTGATATGGAATACAAAAGTGACAAATGCATAAGTTATATAACTGAATTTAGGAAAAGTAAAATTGTGCTAAGATCAAAACTTGCATCTAAAAAAAAGAACAAAAAGAAGTAAACTTTTCCCTAAAAGATGAAAATTACACCATGTTGCTTAGGTTACTATTACTACATAAAAACTTTTTTTTATATTTAGAGAAAAAAAGAATTCATATGTGATCGGTTTGTTACAACACCCATTCAAACATGGCCTTCCTCTTAAAATATTAATAAAACAAGTTTCTTGCCTTCTCAAACTGTTCCACAGTACCATATTTGCCAACAAAACCATTCAGCCTGGCAGCAGCATAAGACCTAATCAAACTCTGTCCCTCAAGACCCAGGGTGTCGAATAGTTTGAATTGCTGTCTCAGCAGGTACTTCTGGTGATAGCTAAAACAGTACTAGTGTATGGTAATGATGGGGAAAACTGAATTTTACAGATACTGTTATGTACAGCATTTTTTAAGTCATAATTTTTTTAAATTAGAACACTCCTTTTGAGTGGTACCAACATAATTGAAAAGCAGGCTACTCTATAATTTATTTTATAAAGAAAAAGGCTATTTACAAAATTTAATATAAATTTAATGATTCCAAAAACTGTGTTTGAAAGACTGATAATTTTTTGCCCTTTGGAAAGATAGAGTCATTACTGTAAATAATGACCATTAATTTTGTAGGTTTAAATATTTTGGTAACAGGAGAGCTCTGTAAACACACTTTTATCAGATTCGGGACAACAGAAAGGACCTTCCCCCATCCATTTCTGATGTAATGTTAATATCTTCAAGAAACTGTGTGTTATTTGTACTAATTTGCAATTCTAGCTCAATGTCTGAAACAAACATTTTACTGAAATGCAGATGGGATTTCTTAGTGTTGTGGAGAAAGTTGCAGCAATGCCATTTTATCAGAGCTTCAAGGATCTCTCCATGAATATTCAAACTAACAAAAAAGAGTTTGCTATGTAAATCAATGCTGGTTTAAACAATCATAAGAGATGTATATTAATAACAATTAGAATAATTATTATTATGATCAATTTACCATAACTGATATGCATTCTAGCTGAATTTTTTTTTCTCAATGTGAATTGTAAACTATTTATGCAACCTGATGTTGTTAAGATGGCAACAGGCTCATCAGCCCACCCCTCTCTCTCAGCCCTTACTCTTACATATGCATATGTATGTATGTATGTATGTATGTATGTATTGTAATGTAATATTAACACACACACACACACACACACACACACACACACACACCATAACTTACTTTTCTGCCTCAAAAAACTCAGTTGCGGGCAAAATCTTTGTGGCAATTTTTCTTGCCATATGTTTCTGCTGTTCCTCCATGCTCTTCTCGGCCAGCGCCTTCTGCTCAGAGTCATGATAAAAGATTGCTGACATGTACTGGTTAGTGGTATTGGTGGTAGGGTCATGACATTTCCAAAACAAGGCAAGGAGTTCCTCATATGAAATCTGTGCAGGATTGTAATCCAAGTCCACTGTTTCTGTATGATCTCCCCTAAACAAAATTTAGAAGACCTTTCTTGTGCTGAATAGTGAAAAAGTATTTTTAGATGAGATCCTAGAAAGGGTGATTTAAGTTCTATGTCATATATAACTGACCTTTGTTTTTGTATATAAACAAGAATATTTTGAACAGAATATTCTGAAAAAGAAATTTATGAAGATATAATATTAAGATAATCCTTCTCAAACAATTTAAAATATGCGCTATACATTATAATACATACTTGTTAAAACACTTGGATTGAAAATGAAGATTGCTTCCTATATTTTGCCCATTTCAATGCGTCACTTTTATTTGTTATCTATGATATATGTGTAACTACCTTCTCGCCTCTTCAGGACTGTCTCCCGGGACCTGGCCAATCTACTCCCACCCCCTTTTAAAACTAAACCCATTTTGATAAACAACGCATGGTAGATTTAAAATCTTAAGTCATTTCATTTTACAATTAATCAAGCTTTAATATTCTTACAACTCATTTTTAAATACAAACTAAAATTAATCATAATTCTACCAGACTCTCTAAGAATACAAGTAATATAATATTATATACCCTTCTGCATCTCAAAACTTGTATTGGGGTAATTCTTGATTGAAAAAAATTAATCACACCAGTGTCACAAATGTACTTACATTTTCCTGTAAGTAGGGGATGGTGTGGATCCCCCAGTATAGCCCACACGTGTGTGGACCACCCCCGGGACACAGCCAAACTGTGCCTCGGGGAACCAAAATCATCTCAGGGCAAAAGTGGCCCTCTTTGTGGCCACGGCTGGCTCCATCAAGGGCATGGTGCCTGGTGAGATGAAATGTCAATTTTACAAGTTCAGTTTACAAAGTGATCTGCAAGCAAGCACTATATATATATAGGAGTTTGCACATTAGTCCGGTTGCTTAGGGCAAAAAAATGGCCAAATCGTGACACAGCGGATAAAAGCACCAAATTTTGCATGTGGGTACCTTTTGACATACTAAATCAAATAAGAGCCGTAGCCCACGGAAAAAATTTACCGTTTGGCCAAAAAATCCAAAATGGCCGCCAATTTGTGAAATTTTGTAGAAATATATACATATCTATGTTGATTTTTATCAAATTAAGTATTTTCTCAATGTTTTCCACATCCTTATTACCCATATTATGCATATGTGTCAGATAACAAACTAGTGTCCTTGGACTTATTGAAAAATCCAAGATGGCCGCCNGAATAGATGATTCATTTAAACAATGTTTGGAATAATTAATTAAAGGATGAGTGTGAAAAACCATTGGCAAAGTGCCCATCCTCAAATTTTTTTAATAATTTGCTATTATAAAGTTTATGCATATATTTGTTGCATGGAAAAATATTATTTGGTTTGAGGCATTATAACTTAGTATTTTTAATGAGTTAATGGGGTAGCCAGATTTACCTGTTGTATGCAGTCTTATGAATCAGAGCAACTTGTTTCAGCATTTATATTACATAAACGATTTTTTCTAATGAAACTTGTCTTGTGATGTAAAAAAAGAGTTATATGTTAAATACAGACTTGACATTTGATATGGGATATTTCAGTTTCGAATGTATGCCTAGTTGATAATGCGTTTTTTTTTTTTTTTTCACAAACTCCGATCTCATATAAGATATGTGAATGGAGAAGTGTGTAGTCAGGTGAAATAATATTTTTTTTATCTTTTTGCAGAACGCATACTTTTTTGTTTGGAACTTTATGATCTGAGGCTAGGGGTAGAAGGTACCCTGGACCGATTGGATAACATTTGCAATTGAGTAGTAGTGAGGGACTTTGACAGCAGAAACTCAACGTAACATTGAAGCAACTGAAATGTGGTTCTACAGGCGAATGCTCCGAATCTCCTACATTGAGCATGTTACAAATGAAGAGGTCTTTAAACAGATTGATCAAAAAAGACAGCTTCTCGACACTGTTAGAGAAAGACAACTGAAGTTCTTGGGACATTGCATCAGAAAAGAGGGATTAGAAGATCTTAGCCTGAGCGGAAGAATACCTGGCAAAAGTGCCCGAGGCAGACATCGAAAATCCTTTCTTTACAATTTTGACTTACCAACAAGACACCTTTGGTCATGGGCGAGAAATAGAACCCTTTGGCAGAATATCATCGTTCGTCAAACACCGAATCGGTGATGGCACATGAAGAAGAAGAAGTAGTGAGGGATAAGTCAATTATTAAACTGTTGTTTGATCAATTCATTCTATGTGGTACATTATGGTGTTATATTTTAAAACAAACACTATGATTGAGATAAGTTTAATTCAAAATTTACCGCATTTTGATAATTCACAACAATAAAACTGTAGAACATGCCTTACGTGTCTTTAAAGGCGTTAGTTCTAAGGTTTAAGGGCGCTTGACATTGTTGATACTTATCTATTTGCGGACAAGTGAATAAATAATTTTGTACTGCCTTTTTTACATATTCCTTTTTAAGAATGTCCACCATTCATGTACTAGATATGGGGATGAAGATGCCACCTGGTATGCAGTTTATTTTTGTGTGTCGAGAATAAGTGCGACCCCGAGAGCCCGTTCCATTTATTTTGACATATTCTACGCCGCCACATTTATTGATCTTGCTCAGGGCTTTGCGGAATATTTCAACTTCGTCAAAAAAATCTTGCCCTTGATGCTTTAGAGTCTCTTTGAATTTAGCCAAAAAATGGCGATACAAATAATAGTCTGCTTTGCTCCACTTTTGGTGTGTCAACAAAAAAGACGACTTGGCAACGGTCTTTGGTTCAAACGTGTACGATCCGACATTTCCCGGCACGTACAACACATTTTCCATTTCCCAACACAAAAGACGCCTCAGGTAGATCAAACTTTCGTCAAAATACTCCGTAACGAGCACAAAATCGAACTTGGAATCGAGGTAATGAACGTAATGTTCAATGAAGGGTTCGTTATCTCTAAGATCTTCTCTCTCGTCTGGAAACCCAAATTCGGCCATCATACTGTTTCTGGCGTAAGTCGCTCTATCTCTTTGCCGCACGTGTTGTTTCCAGTACGCTTCTGGGGCACTGAGAAATTCGTCAATTTGGACATTAAATTTAGTCCACAAAGAGAATGAGTTGTAGGCACTCGTGAACTGAGAAAAAGGTTCTCGGACAACTCCGACATAAAACGAATCTGACGGCATCATACTACTGACGACATCGTAGTCAAATACCATATGATCCACAATCATATCATATGTCATTCTGGGTTTGTAGAGGGCATCTTCCTTGGTGATCCGCCTCGGGCGGAGCGGTTTCGTCGGATAAAAATGCCCTTTAGCTTTCGGCTTCAGGATGTTCAGATCGTATTTGAGCGCGAAACGCTTCATAATATGATGAAATGTGGTTGAAAAGCACTTGGTAGTTTTTAGATAGACGATGTGCTTTCGAGGCTCGCATGCCGTGATGTTCCTTGGTTCATTATACCTCAAAGGGAATACTTGAGAACTAGAGTTCATATTCTGTTTACTGGGCCATGCATCTGCGTCTCTTGATACAGGAAACACATTACTATCATACAGATACCCTCTGTATAGTCCTTGAGTGAATGAAAAAAAAAGTACATTATAATTTTTTGTTCACAAGGGTGATCTCAAATGAAAGACTGCAGACACAATTTCTCCGAGAGAGAGAGAGAGAGAGAGAGAGAGAGAGAGAGAGAGATTGAGGGGGAGGGGAGGGAGAGAGAATCCTATTTTGTTGAAAAATAGTCAATTGAAAGTCTGAAAACAACAACTGAAAATCTGAAAATCCTCTAATTCTTAAGCTATCTGCATATCATCTGGTAAAAATATCATAACAGCGTATATCAAAAGTCTGTTTGCAGTAAATAAGGTGTTACTTACCTTGTGCATGTGTCCTAATATAGAAAAAGCGTAAAACTAAGATAAAGTATCCTGTCAATGCAAATAAAGTAAAAATATAAATCAGTCGAAGACCACGCATTGCATCTGCTCTGAGTAAACCTTGTTTTCAGTCTCGTGTAGGTAGTTGGTGTGGCACACGGTAGCGCATGCTCAAGATGATGTAAGCCATCTGTTGCACAGAAACCACCTTGATGAATTATATAATAAATCATACGCAGGCAAAAATAAATAAATAAATAAATAAATAAATAAATAAATAAATAAGTTAAAATAAAATAAAATAAAATAAAATAAAAAATTGCGTGTATCTAACGTGGTTCATGGTACAGAAAAACAAAACACCTGTGAAGGTTTTTAGATTTATCACTTATCATTCACCCACTCAAATATGATATTCTACAGTGGTTTCCACAGAAGTGAAAAAGTTCATTTTATTGAAATGACACCACCAAATTTCACCAAATTTTTACACCAGAATGTGCTTTAAGTCACGAGACAAAAACCGTGTGTCGACCACAGGCGGCGAAGCACATGCTTTAAGCTACGTTGTTGGATACCAAATATGTTTTGAAGGGCTTTGTTCCATTCTTCTTGTAGAGTTTGAAGGGGTTTCTCTAGATTATTTAGAGGGTTGGTTTATTCTCCTCTGCATCTATTCAAATTCGTCTTACTGTTGATCCGTAGGACTAGAGTTGGTATCAGGCCACAAAGATTGCTCTTCCATCTCGAGATCATTGCTTCGCTGAAACCCCTAATCAGACGAGAACCGCGAGTTATGATGAAACCTGTAGTTGCCTATTTATATGTCGCCTCTTGCAATCTGGTCGTTTTGCAACCCCACAAAATTTATTTATTCGTAGGTTATCAAACTATATATTGTGTTTGTACCCTGGCCAAGTTGCATACACAAGTGCGACTGGTTGCATCAGTTGAGGCAGGTTCCTAATGCGATGGCATCAGTTTAGAGGGCATATTTCAAAACTAGTATTGCTGTATTTGGCGTGGTTCGCACATAATAAAGAAGTGTGTTTTAGTTTTAGCGAGACCCTAAGAAGAGAGGGAAAAAACATTCAAATGTGTAGTTACTGGTGCGATTTCCATATAAGCAATTGCAACGATGGGAATTTTGAATAAAACATATTTTGCGAATAATTCCACCGAGATAATATCATTTTTTTTCTGCTGAACACGGTTAACAGGTGGCAGGACGTGCTGATTTACCGGAAAAAGCTTCTGAATCAATTCAAGTTCGTTGGCTTTCATCGACAGGCCTGCTCGGAAAGTTTCTAGTTAGATGACTTCAGATACTTTTATTTTCATTTTGTTTTGCACCGAGATAACGTTTGCTTTCACCTTTGACGATATACAGCACGCTGAGGTCCACAGCTGTTCACAACTGGGCGGTTTTAGTATTGAGCAGTCTTTCCTCTTTCAAATGTCGACTGCGGACTTGCCCCGGGTACTGTATGAACATATGAACAGTTTTGAGAAGCAAGGGTGCAAGAAAGGATAGGAGGGTCATGAAAAGACAAAATGTGTCCTTGTTAAAAGCAATAGAGGCGACGCGACTTTTGTTAAACAATACAAATTTTCTCTCTGATAATCCTACCGAGAAGAAAGCACATTTTGATGAAAAATAGTACATACGGTGTACGAATTTGCTCAATTTAAGTACGAGATCTGTGGCACCAATCTAAGTACTTTTAACTGAAGAGAAAGGAAATATTATTGACGACGCAGAGTTTATTCTAATGCCCAGCAATATGTTCGCCTTAATGTAAACTTTCTTAAGTATACCGTGTTTTTATGCAAAAGGTAATTTGCTAGGACCCACGAGAGCCCAGATCGTGCTCGTGCCATCCCAATTCAGGGTCCCGGTCGTTGTCGTGATGGACTGTCGTGCCTCATCCGGGATTCGAACTCGTGACTTTTCGTTGCCATGGTTGATGGCGCTTTGGGTACCTCATTTGCATCCAAGCACGCTACCGACTGCGCCGTGACAGACAAGCCCACCCTCCCTACGTACGAGTTTCTTTNATGTGTATATCTGCTTTCCCGATCGATAATCCGGGTGCCGCATTTTATCCCACGCACCCCCCCCCCCCCCCAGTCCCCGTCCACGGTTCATCATGAACGGTAAAATTCATGATGTACAGGAAGCCGTGCGTGTTTGAGAACCCGAGACGGAACTGGGAGTTTGTTTTATACTAAGATTAATTTTGGCTTTACCCTTGATATTAAAGAGGCGTGTTTTAGTTTTAGCGAGACCCTAAGAAGAGAGGGAAAAAACATTCAAATGTGTAGTTACTGGTGCGATTTGCAGCGATGGGAATTTTGAATAAAACATATTTTGCGAATAATTCCACCGAGATGATATCATTTTTTTTCTGCTGAACACGGTTAACAGGTGGTAGGACGTGCTGATTTACCGGAAAAAAGCTTCTGAATCAATTCAAGTTCGTTGGCTTTCATCGACAGGCCTGCTCGGAAAGTTTCTAGTTAGATGACTTCAGATGCTTTTATTTTCATTTTTGTTTTGCACCGAGATAACGTTTGCTTTCACCTTTGACGATATACAGCACGATGAGGTCCACAGCTGTTCACACCTGGGCGGTTTTAGTATTGAGCAGTCTTTCCTCTTTCAAATGTCGACTGCGGACTTGCCCCGGGTACTGTATGAACATATGAACAGTTTTGAGAAGCAAGGGTGCAAGAAAGGATAGGAGGGTCATGAAAAGACAAAATGTGTCCTTGTTAAAAGCAATAGAGGCGACGCGACTTTTGTTAAACAATACAAATTTTCTCTCTTATAATCCTACCGAGAAGAAAGCACATTTTGATGAAAAATAGTACATACGGTGTACGAATTTGCTCAATTTAAGTACGAGATCTGTGGCACCAATCTAAGTACTTTTAACTGAAGAGAAAGGAAATATTATTGACGACGCAGAGTTTATTCTAATGCCCAGCAATATGTTCGCCTTAATGTAAACTTTCTTAAGTATACCGTGTTTTTATGCAAAAGGTAATTTGCTAGGACCCACGAGAGCCCAGATCGTGCTCGTGCCATCCCAATTCAGGGTCCCGGTCGTTGTCGTGATGGACTGTCGTGCCTCATCCGGGATTCGAACTCGTGACTTTTCGTTGCCATGGTTGATGGCGCTTTGGGTACCTCATTTGCATCCAAGCACGCTACCGACTGCGCCGTGACAGACAAGCCCACCCTCCCTACGTACGAGTTTCTTTTTATAGTTACCTATCGGAATTTTAAAGATTTAATTCTGGAAAAAAAATTACGATATCCGTTGGGTCTCGAACCAGCGTACCAGTGTCTGTCTGCACAGGAGACAGCCAAGTTACCACGGAGCCACGTCAGCTTCGTCGATACGGCAACATCGGATGGAAACTTTCAACCTTGCCACGGACAGGACCAGGTTGGATGTACATGTGTACATCTGCTTTCCCGATCGATAATCCGGGTGCCGCATTTCATCCCACGCAACCCCAGTCCCCGTCCACGGTTCATCATGAACGGTAAAATTCATGATGTACAGGAAGCCGTGGGTGTTTGAGAACCCGACACGGAACTGGGAGTTTGTTTTATACTAAGATTAATTTTGGCTTTACCCATGATATTCATACTCGCACATACGTACACTGTTGTAAGTCTTGCGACGTAGAATGGGGAGTAGAAGGAATCTCAAAAACAATGAAAAAACCCTCGAAAATATGAAATATCGGCGTTTATATTTTTTCGTTGCAATGTATAAGTAGAGACAAATCAAAGCTTTTATCGCCAATTAGACACCTTTCTATTTTGAGGTGAGATAGCAATCTGTATGGTGCTTAACTTCATCCCTGAACAAGATTTTACCACAAAAATTGGCATATTTGACCAGGAGAGTATATGTTACAATTCCTTGCCGTCAGTTTGGTTTAAATGTTTTCGTTCTGAATAGAAGTATAAGTCCCTTATTACAGATTTTTATTAAACTAAGGCATTATTTTGCTTTATCAAAGATTAAAAACTTAACTAATACTTATAAGAAAAATCGCTGGCAGGGTTTTGGAGTACTTAAATTAAGGTGTCATTAAATTTGCTTTAAAACGGCGATCGTGGGTGCTCAGGTAAAAGAGAAATTTGAGACACCGATTTTTCCGTTGTTACCCCATGATTGCAATAATGACGTCACCCGTAAGATGACATATGTGTAAATGTTAATTAATTTAGTCACTGAGCAGTGAAGATTTATTTATTACCCAAAAGAATGTATGTAAGGCAGTAAATAAGGAGTTGCACGTGTTAGCACTCTTTGTGGATGAATACTTCGGGCAAAAATATCATCAAACACAAAGCATATAATATGTATATCTAACGTCGGCAATAAGTGCTAGACACTAAAGGGGTTCTACACGGTCGACGCCAATGCACGCCGAATGTTGCCTACCAGTGCATGACCGCTACGGTAATTTACTTCAATGTTTATTTGAAGACCGTGGCTACTGAAGTAGTTCCATCCATATCTTTTCTCACACAGGACATGTGAACTGTTAGAATACAGTCGAGATAGGCATATATCGGTGTTCATTCCATACGCAAATGGCAGAAAAATCTGGATTAGACCAAAAGTGTGTCAGCTGGGGTAAGCTTGATTTTTTTTCTCAGTTGTAACTTCTATTTAAGTCTACTACCATCTGGAAGATGACGTTTAATTTTAAGTCTTTCAACCAAAACTATATATATATATATATACAATAAACCCCCTTGAATCAGTCGCTGAGACGGTTGAAATTCCTCCCTGGTTTCAGGCAGAACATCATGGTATTACATTGAGTATATTGCACATGGTATTTAAACAGTTTGAGAAAACCGTAACTTTGAATTCCCACACTCATTTTATTATATATGCATTTGTACATTCGCTTTATATATACAGCAGACATAATAACGAACAGCTCTAAACATTACCTAGAAAGTGGATCCATACCATACATCATCATTTGGTACATGTGTGTTAATTGCTGCTTAACGGTTTAAAGGTACTATAAGAAGCTAAAGCTATTAATAGATGAGGCTGGAATGATGATTTAGTTTCACCTGAACGCTCCCTTTA